ATGTTTTAACAATTTCTAGAATATTCTAGATTTATGATACTGTATAAATACCCTGTCAATTCGATGCATAGATACTTTGTCGTATAAGCACTATTGAGATATAACTGGGATATATTTTCACTGGGACATTGTGTGCAGCAACGGACACTCTGATGTATGTATTTTTAGATTCTTGCTAAGTTTGTACTTTATGTTTCATATACTTATTATATATTACTGTAAATAAATTATTGTTAAGTTTAAATTGTGTTATTGATCTTTGCTGGCATTTCGGGTAATTCTGACCCATAACAGTTAGTTTAATTAATGCCCAATAGCAGAAAAGAAGATTTTCAAAGAATTAATGCATTTTCACCATATAATCTACATATCCCCACCCTAGCACCAGAACCCTTGACCCCAGGGCCACTAATTTTACAATAATGGTAGAGGACTCAATGCTGATTACAATTATGCAAACAGTTTGACTGCTTGGTGCCCAGGAGTAAAGAAGAAGATCTTTAAAGATTGCATTAAATTTAGTAGTTTTGGCCCCACTCCTCAGGCCCCAGGGGGGCAGGGACCATAAAATTCACAATTTTTGTTCCCCTTCACGCACATATGCATTATGCCTCACTTGGTTGAAATCGGTGGGGTAGTTGTAGAGAAGAAGCTGTAAATTTTCAAATGTTAACGCACAACGAACCACGCACACCGCACGACGACGGACGAAAATGGATAGCAATAGGTCACGTGAGTTTAACTCAGGTGACCTAAAGAACAATTTCATGATACTGTATTGAGGGGCTGGAATAATTGCGATGATCATGCAATTATTTTCATACGTTAACATCTCTAATTTTGGCGGAGGAAAGGGCAGTATTCATTCATGAATTTATATACATGTATGCACCTCCATCAGTTACAATTTGACCAAATTTAATGGTGACGTTAAATGGAATGATAAACTTGAATAATAAAACATGTTATATAATGTTCATGGCGTCGGTAGTCTAGTGGTTAAGATGCCGGACTCCAAACCGAAAGCTTGTGAGTCCGAATCGATCCTGGCCATGGTAAGTCGACGTTGTGTCCTTGGGAAAGAAACTTTACATGAATTTCCTCACTCCACCCAAGTGTAAAAGGGGTACCTGGCTATAGACAGTGAAAGATATTGTCAAAATATTAGCGTTCTAGCGCCTTAACGGCAGCTTGCACTGAGAAAGATTCTTGATTGTTTTGGTCAATAAGGTATTGTAAAGCGCTATGAGTAGAAAAGCTCTATACAAAAACAATTATTATATCTATTATTATTATTAATATTAAATAATCCTTTTAAAAATAGTACATTTTTTAATGATAGCACGTATAAAGAACTAAAAAGTCATTTAAAATGTAAACAAAACTGTATCAAATTACAAAAAACAAAAATGAATGCTTTAAAAAGAGGTTACATGTAACTGATATTGGCATATATCGGGACCCAAATATTTGCTAAGGGTAAGTTTAATAAAATAAAAAAATAAAACGATATACCATCTTGCGACCCTGCACAAGAAAAGTTAAATTTAAGTATTTCTTAAAAAATACACACTATCATAATCTTAATATATTTATAAGTTATGCAAAATTTTCTCTTCCAATTGAAACGTTTAATTGTTTCTTAAACAATACTTTTTGTGTTGAAACCTACCCATCAACAAATCTCAGGTTTCATTTTTTAGCATCTTAGAGTTTAATTTCGTGCCCTACAATAAATCAGATTACTTGATTTCCATAATATACGCCACGGTATACATATACATTTGATGACAGAATGATAAAATTTCTCAAACAGAACCAACATTCTGATAACTTTTTTGACTTCGTGTAAGAAATAAAATCATTTAAATCTTCCTGGTTCGTACCTTTTTAAAGTAAAGATCCCTTATTTCTCTCAATTCTACCTTAGAGATCGATCGGGTAAAGCGAGCAAGATGAAGAGTTCCTTAATATCTTTATGTCTTCTTTCTTCTTATGTGTGTGGAATAACGGCATTTTGTAAGGTTTTATATATTTTTTTCGAAATAATTTATGACTTGTAAAATTTTTTTTTATATGTTAAGAATACAGATAAGACTTTTTTTCTCCAAAATTAAACAGATCAAAAATTACAATCATAGTACATGTAATATGGATATATATGTAGGATCTCACGTGATTTTAGTTTGATGTAATATTTATCCAACGAGTAGTGTGTTTTATATTCCCGAGCCTAAGCGATTCTTTTTATCCCATGTTTTATACAAAACAATCAATGTTTATGAATACTGTTTTCATGTAGGACTCCACTTCATTTTATTTCATCGCTCTAACGCAAAACCCATTGTTTCGTCATAACTGTGTGATATGAAAACGATATCACATGAGCTATATCAACGGAATAAAGGGTTAAACATGTGATAAAATGATATTATAAACATTTCTTTCTGAAAAAGAAAGAAAACCTAAAGCAATTCGCTTAATTGAAAACAAAATTGCAATTATTTATTTTTGATTTTATTCTGCCTGTGCTGAATTTTCTGTCGTTACGATTATTTTGGTTCATCGGTTTCTGTTAATTTTCACCGCATTTTTAATTCAATTTGTATGATAAATGAAATCAAGAAAAAAGTTCCAACAAGCGGCATGTTCTCATAAAAAAAGCAAATAATAAGTCTGCTTTTTTCAAGATGTAGCAGACATAAGTAAAGGGTATTTTTGCAAAGTACGTCAAGGGACGGTAATGATGGTGTTTTTCATAATATTTGTAACAGGGCCAACATTTCGATTGCTCTTTTGACTTGGTGTAAGAAAATGGGTTACTTAAATCTTCCTGATTGGTTCCTTTTAAAATAGCAACCTCTTTATTTGCTCAATTCAATGCTTCTGATGTTTTTCATACTAATTGTTAGTCCGTTATTTATACACTGAATTGACGACGGATTTTTCAGTTATTTCTCGATCATTACAAGGAGCACTGTTACAATGTACAATGCACTTTGAAAAAATTATGCACTTAGATTCTTTTTTTTCAATCTTGTGAAAACGAAAGTGTAATAGATAAACAGACACAGGGACCAGAATTACTGTAATTATCCCCGACTTTCAGTGATAATAGTGAAAAAATATTCTCATAACAAATTTGGTATAAAATTATATAAAATCTGTTTCCTAAAAAGAATACGATTCCAATTGGCGCCAAAAAGAAAATTAAAGGAATAATTAAACTGATATTTCAATGTGCCTTTAATGCAATTTGAAGCATTCATGCATCTCAAAACAGTACACTGTGATCAAAATTAAATATTAACATTTTATGTCATTGAAAAAACTACAAAAAGTAAAAAAAAAAACTTCTTTCCTATATAAATCTACTGTTTCATGGAAAAGCGTCGTTAAAAAAAATCACGTGCGGGAAGGGACAAATAGAAACAGGAGCGGGCCTTGCGGAATAAAGGACATGTGAAAATAAGGGAAAACTCTCAGATTTTTTCGATTCATGACGATCATTAATTGCCTTCAGCATTTATGCAAATTATCACGTATAAGCCAATCGATTTTTTTCACATCATGAAACTAAGAAACTAAACAGTTATTCCTCATTTTATTAAATCATAACACAGCTTCCCAAAATTTCATAGACAAAATTTTGAAGTTTTACTGCAAATCAAAGTAGGCCGAGGTACCGTAATGTTGGTGTATTTTACGTTTTATAACAGGAATTACAGTCACATTTTAAATAGCAATTGCTGTATATCGACACTATAAATATTTGAGAAGGTCAATTGTTGACTGCAGGGGTAACAAGGTCAGTAAGCATATCTTAAAAAACTTAAATGCTTCGAAATATATGTGCAAAATGTGAAACCAATACCCCTTACAGTTCTCAAGGTATAAGGCGTGGCAGACAGGTACCGGGTAACGTGATACCACTGTTTCGCTCTGATGAAGAGCATTACCCGAGAATGCGTTTTTGTGTTCTTTAGCTTATGAGCAATATCACAATGGTTTAAAGTAGTGAGTTATCGTTCCTGACATAGCGGCGCTACATGTCCCGGTCCTTGTGATACTTCCGCTTCGTAGTAAACACACGTGAAACAATAACGATAAGAGTACATTAGTAAGTAATAAGTTGAATTAGAACACACAACAATGCCCAGTAGTTGCTGCTGTGTACCTGGATGTCATGAAAGAGGCGGGCATCAGTTCCCGACCGAAAAATCAAGGAGAGACAAGTGGATTATAGCAATTAAACGCTTGGACGAACATACGAGAAAGTTATGGGAGCCTTCCAAGTCTGTCGTTGTATGCAAACGACATTTTAAACCTGACGATTACGTGACAGAAACAATACAAGGTATTGTGATTCAACATTGTTTTGATCACTATCGAATGTTGTAGTAAATGAAAAGATAACATTTCTTGCAAACTGTATCAGCTGTGTGTATAGCCGATTTGTATTTTTATACAACCCACTTTTTTTTTTTATTTTCATGTTCTTTAAATTGCATTAAAAATTTTCATTGAAACACACATATGTGAAAACGAATAAAAATAGCGTTTTCAGTATGAATAGATATACACTACATTGTTTATCAACAGGACAGAAACCATTACATGGAAGACTAAAGAGCTCTTCAGTCTCTAGTATTTTCTGCTGGACAAAGTCATCGGCAGCATCAACTTCAAGATCTTCTCGAGTAGAAGGCCGGGTGCAGAAAAAGAGAAAATTTGAGGAAGCTTGCCATGATGACCTTGAGGACAGCATTAATGAATCAAATGTAGACTTTGTTGAAGAGATTGTGTCAGCTGATGAGTCCACAAGCAATGTTACTAACATTACATCATATAGTCCAGAATTTAGAGATATGCAGACACAAACACAATCACAACCATTATTTTCAGTAGATCATTTTGAAAAAGATGATGCTGCCATTCACTTTTATACAGGTCTAGAAACATATAGTAAATTTATGTATGTACTTCATTCACTAGGACCTGCTGCATATTGTCTTAATTATATTTTTTTTCGAGTGCAAGGAGTGTCGATTCTAGATCAATTTTTTATGACTTTAATGAAATTAAGAAGGTACACTACAAACTTTGAACTTTCTAGATTTTTCAATGTATCTGAGAGCACTGTAAAAAATATTGTTTATACTTGGATTATATTCATGTCAAAGCAATGGCAAGAGGTGTCCATATGGCCGCCTCAATCCCTTGTCAGATATTTTTCACCTTCAGATTTTAAAGCTAAATTTCTTAAGACTAGAGCAATTTTAGATGCAACTGAGTTTCCTATTAAAAAACCAAGTTCACCAAGAGCACAACAAGCCACATTTTCAACCTATAAAAACAGAAACACGATGAAAGCTTTGATAGGTTGTACACCAGGGGGTCTCATAAGTTTTATTAGTCCAGCATATAGTGGTTCAACCAGTGACAGGCAAATTGTAGAAAGAAGTAGTTTGAAAAATCTGTGTGATCAAGGTGATAGTTTAATGGCTGACAAAGGTTTTAATGTACAAGATATATTTGCTACAAAAGATATTACAATAAATATTCCTCCTTTTTTTAAAAACAGAAATAGAATGTCAGGTAATACAGTTTTGCGTGACAGAAAAGTTTCGAGCAAAAGGGTTCATATTGAAAGGATTATTGGTTTAGGAAAAACGTATCAAATTTTAACACATCCTCTTAAAAGTACTGAGGCATGTTTATCATCAGATATAGTATTCGTTTGTTACATGTTGTGCAATTTTCGCACTGGAATTATTCCAGCAGATGCTTGATTGTTTTATGTAAATTAAGTGCATTTTAAATGCAGTTAAGTTCAATTAAAATACCACTTGACTATTGTGAACCCCTTTTGTCATTACTTCATATTACTGTATATTAAGGGCAGAGATATTTTCAAAATTTTGAACAGTCATATCTCTTAAACTTTTAATCATGTAAACTTTACCAAATCATAATACATGCACATTTGAGATTTGACTATTTCACAAGATCAATAGACTGTATGGAATGTGTAAGAATTTTTTCTACATGTACCTTTTTTTTTACTGAAATTCAATGTCATGTCAGATTTTCACTCATTGTCGTTGTAGGACTTGTAGTAATATTTTTCAAGTACTGCATCCTTGAAGAAATTGGTGTAAAACTTTTCTAATTTGTCTAGCATTTCATGTATGAATGTATCATCCCGTTTGATTTGAATATACACAATGTCATTTACAGTTAAATTATTTGCTAAACAAACAATCAGAATACAAGATTTTGCACCAGTACAAAGAAGTTGTCCTTGTATTTGATAAAAATAATCATGATTATTATCAAGAAAGTATTTCCCTTCCTGGTTTGTTTTCAAATAAGGCACTGTAGTCGGTGAAATTTTCTTGTTTCTAGAAACATATGGACATTTCACCTCTACCAGTTCCTCTTCATTAATGATTCCATCTGGTAATGCAGCTAGAAATGGACAATCTTTACAAATTATTAGGCCACTTGCCTGCACATCTTTATGGTGATCATTTTTAAACTTCTTTATGGCAACTGGTTCATGCTTGTGGCCGTGTTCAATGGCATTTGATTTTATATTTTTGGTAACTGTGAGAGATTGAGCAAGTTTTCTTTTGTCAGTTCTCTCTGTGCATTTGCATATCCGCCCAAACATTGATGAAGTTAAACGCTTCGTTCTCTCTACTTTCCAAGTTTTATTATTGCCCTGCCCCATTGTTTGATGTTTGATCTTCTCAATTTGAGAACTGGATATATGAGAAATGAATGATGTTTGAAGGAAATGGTCTTCAGGTGTCAATTTTAGGTAGTCATGGTCATGTGCCACTGCCATCATATTGGCAGGGGTAAATGTTTGGAATATTGGGACTTTAGAAATTCCAGGGAAATTGAGCCATACATTGGAAGTGATCAGGATATGCTGGGTTATTTTGAAATTTTTCTGGTCTTGGGTCAAAGTTGACAGTTGTAAATTCATCAGCACCAGGTAGATGTAGATCTGTTGCTTTCATTTGGCTACCTTTAAATCTTTTACATTTATGAAAGGTCTGTAAACGCTGTGTGCAAGTTTCTTCTGTCTTGATGAACTTCTGTTTTGCAAACATTACCGCCCCATACATGACAGCTCCAACATGTTTACAATGTGCATTAGGCCCCATGTCTGCAGCACACTCACACTGAGCTTCCGATATTGACCCCTCCTCAGTTATTTTGAGATCAACTGTATACGACACACCTTTTCTCATTTCGGCACGACACTTGCCTTTGATGTATGTGAAGGGGTTAATATCAATGGAGATACGGTAACACATTAAGAAATTATCACTGTACAGTTGAATAAAATGATTATCAAACTTCTTTTCAAATAGTTCAAAATAGGCTTGAACCGTTTCCATAGTCAAACCACGGAATGGGGAATCAGAATTGACGTCCGAGTATGTATCGTATTCAGGTAATATCATGTAAAAATCTGGGTCAAGCTTCTCAACTCTTCCAAAGTCGGCATTTCTATCGTATGCGTCAAGTCTGTTAAAAATACAAATACTCGGTTTTTATCATGTTTTTAATAGTTTAATTTTGCAAATGTTTGCGGCATTACTTGATTTACTGATTGCAGAAATAAGACATGTTAGAGTTGGACATATAGCATGCGGTTTTCAGTATCGAATTACCTGTCGACCAGTTCTGCTTTCCGACCCGATATTCTTGCATTTCGTTTTCTTAGTTCGTTTTTAAGCTCAATTATACTCAAGGAACCGTATTTTGAGTTATTCATGATAATTTTCAACTGTTTTGATCTTAAATACACACGTAACAAAATACAACAACGAACGATAGTAATCTCGCATCCAATGTAAACAAGATGCTATGGACCGGGAATAGTATCGCCGCCTAGCGGGAGGCAGGGGAACGCAACTCACTACTATCTTCCATATGGATTAAGTAATGAAAATATTTTTTTATTTAGTTATTAAGGGAGTCGATTGGGGTTTTATTGTGGGAAAACTGTTAAGTAGAAACTCTATATTTTTTACCATACAAAACTTACACTGACTTCAGTGTACATGTCAAGTTTGAGGATAATCTACAGTCCAAGTATTTTATCTCATGCTTGTTGGGGATACTGCGCATAAGATAAATTTATGCTTTATCAATGCGTACATGTAGATGCTTTATCAATAGCACTACCGGTTTTGACACGATCCCTCGCTTCAGGATTTCATTTTATTGAAATTGTTATTTGTAAAAAAAAAAATAGCCCTTATAAAATGAATGATAAAGAGCAATGAGGTCAAGAAAAATAAGAAAAAAACTCGTATATGTCAAAGAAGTGTCTTATTTTATCCAAGCTACTTGAAGACGGACGTAACATTTAACCCCTCCCCTTCCTTTAAATTGTTAACGAGAAAGTACAGTCTAGCAATTAAGTTGTTAATATAACATTCCTTTTTCAACAATGTTTTCTTATATCATACTACGTATACCTACCTTATAGTAATGTAGGAGTAACTTACATGGATAAACGATGAATCTACAAGTAATAGCCTTGCCTAAGCATTGCCACTGTACAAAGAGTTGGTTACCGATACGCGACTTCTTTGATAGTCTGATTTCAATGTACCTTGGCACACGCGTAGACTATACAAGGATACTTTATTCCAGAACCTATTTTTTCATTTCTATGAACAGTGTATCAATATTTATTACTCTACCTGTGAACGATATCAATCTTGAATTAATTTTTTTCATTATTTTATTCTCATTAGATAATTTAGCAATTGGTAAAACGGTGTCAGGCTTTTACTATGATAACTATTTTGGTGGATACAATGACATTAATACTGAAAATTTTACCAACGGAGATGGAGTTGACAGCTGTGAATATTTTAAGGGGCACTATTTTCATTTTAACATCAACCTTCAAAGGAAATACAGCATTAAGTTGTCGAGGATTATATTCAAAGGTATTTATTTTACATCTTGAAAAACAACTGTGTATTAATTTCACATTTTTACGTGCATGCAATTCCAAACCCCAAGCACTCGTGGAATGGAACCCTGCCCCATATCCCCCTTCTTAAATCTGGAATCAAGTCGACCATTTTACTATTTTTGTATTCTAGCATGCACCATAGTAAATTTTGTCGGTGTGCACAAACTGGGACGGAAATGCAATAACGGAAACTTCGAATTTTTAAATGTTTTGCATTGTAAAAAAAATATGTGGCTGTGTATAATAAGGTTATATCTTAAATGTCAATCAAAATTCATCAGAATTTGCTAGTTACAGCTATCTTGTTATATACACAGAATTTGCCATTAATATGTAGAGAAAATTCGTGATTTTTCGTTCTTGCATTTAATGTTTCGAATGAAATTACACATAAGGATGATGCCTAAGAATACCGGACACTTTTGCCCCAGCTGATGCACACCAACAAAAGAACTACGAACGATAGTATTGTTCCCGCCAACCTCTAAGTCAATTTTCAAAAGTTAACATATTAGAATGATTTTTAAAAGTATTATAGATATTTATATGAATTTCCATAAAACGTTACTTATTTGGGGTACCAGAGAGAGATAACTCTATAATTTTGGTAAAACTTGTGTTTTTCACTATAGAAATCAACGGAAAACAAAAATATTTTTAAAACATCTTTCCCCCCGTGAAACAAAAATTCCTTTTTACAGATAATACGGACTGTCATTTTACAAATTTAAAGATTTTTATGTGTTTCACGGGGGGGGGGGGGGGGGGGGGCATATGTTTATAGACAAAAAAAGAAGAAAAAATGCTGATTTTTCACCAATTTCAAAGCTATTTACAGCTAAATAATTGTATTTTATTAAATTATATATGTTTTATTTATTTACATGAAACAAAAGAAAAGATATGAGATACATTTTATCATATTTAAGACTATTTCAAAATATGGTGATTCTTGAAAGTTCGATTTCACAAGAAAATATCGTCTACCCCCCTTTTTTCAAGAGCTGGAATTGATGATAATTTACTATCTAGCGCTGGAATTAAAATGATTTATCAATTACCATAGATATGTTCTTTGTATTAAACAACGATTTCATGGCCAAATTGCCATTAATATCGAAAATAATGGGTGCAATATGTACGCGGGAATCATGAGTTAGAGTTCGTAGTTCTTAACTCTACATGCGGATGGTGTAATCGAGATATTTAAGGAATCACTGTCTAGTTTTGAGAGTATGTCAGGGCATCAACAATAATGGGAAACATGGGATAATTTGCATAACGGGCGAAGCCCGTTATGCTAAAATTATCCCATTTTACCTACTATTGTTGATGTCCCTGGCATACTCTCAAAACTAGACAGTGATTCCTTATATTTCCATTTCATTGTGAAATAAAATTGTAGACTTAGACATTAAGAATGTAGACTAATCGATTTAAATTACACGAGGACTTCCATGCCAATTTCAATAGTCCTCGCACACTGACGTCAAACACAAAGGCAGCCGCACGAGATTTACATGCATATTTGGCCTCCTTAGCGTTAGACACAGAGACAGATGCGCACGAGATTTGCATGCGTATTAGGCCTCCTTAGCTGCTGACCTATCGACCTGCCTAATTTACATTCCGGCAGAATTATCAGGAAATCAACTCCGCTTACTTTCAAAGGGTTATTATAGAGAAAAAATATAGAAATGGAAATATTTACAAATCTGGTAAATAAAGATTACATGGAAATGTAATGGATATCAAATTTATTGATGCATATTAGAATGTACATGTTTTCTTATTCTTTAGCTAAACAATCACGGGAAGTTAAACATCAGATGAGGCAAACAACGAGAAAAGAGTGCATCAGTAGAAACATAGGATATTTTGAAAAACAGCTATATACTTGCACCAACGTTATGTTAAAAAAAGAGACAAGAGGATTACATTACCGATAACATAATTATAGTGCATATTAGTATACATAAACAGGGAAAATCTGATTTGATAACAAATTTGGAAAAAAAATGGAAGAGGGAGTGGGCGGTTCATACACCAAGTACTTGAGTTCCAAACACAATTTCCAATTAAAAGTTTATCCCATTGTTTAATGAGCAAAATAGCTTACAAAAGAATTTGATCGAAGCACTTAAAAAAAAACTTTTTTTTTCGCAATCGTTAATATAGTTACCTATAAATTTCAAGAAAATGTTAAAAATTCTCTTACAGGAAATTTTTCTACAAACGGAACGAATTTTCAGTGCTACGATGATATACATGATTGGCCATTTCGCGTCACTGATTCATTTAGAACCGACGTTCCAAATACAGTAGACTTTGATATTCAACGTACAGGATCATACATTTACTTTTATATGTGGTTTGATTCTCTAATCCATTTCGAATTTGAAATATGTGAAATAGAAATACATGGTGAGTTGAAAGACATTGCGCTGATGTTTTTTTTTACTTGTCAACTTGAAAAGCACTAAATTATCATGCTTCTATAGATATGATCTTCATTGAAACACCTTATGAATAGTTAAATTTTGAAAGGACTTCTTTAAAATTTTAAGTATTTTCCACAGGATGTGAAGTTGACCACTATGGTGAGGACTGTCTGCCCTGTAATAAGTCTGAGAATTGTGAAGAGTGTGACGTTAACAATGGAGCATGCTATGTCTGCAGAGAAAATTATACGGGACCGAACTGTAGCATAAGTATGCCTCTCTACGCTTCTCTTCATTTATAGAACGTAGTTGTAATACAGTGTATATAATGCAAAAATACCCGCAGTATTTTATTCTAAATGACTGGATTTGTCATTTGTCATTTGAAAGGGGGGAGGGGGTTGAAAACACTAAAATTTCAATTATTAAATATTTTTTTTATTCCTCACCGTTTATGATACTTTTAAAACGGTAATTGCTTCTTGTCATGTAAGTAGAGGGCTTACGCAACATTTGTCGAAACAGGAAACTTTTTCAAAACGCTACCTTTGGAAAACTTATCTAAACGTTGAAAATGTCTTACCTAGTATGTTCCCGATCTTTTCCCGGCGTAATGATCTTCCTAGTGAGAGATTGACACTATAAAACATATCAGTGTATGCATGGAGCGTGGTAAATTGAGGAGTTCTTATTAGTGATATTATAAACCAAAGTATTGAAAATACTGTTGATACTTTAATTCGACTATTAGTATAAGCTCGTCGATTAATCCTGCGATCGCTATTTTTGTATTAATTACCTTTTTTGTCTTGATTGACTTGCATAAATTATAAAGCACCCAACGTAATCAATTTTTTTTTGACTAAATAATGCTACAAGGGCACTGGGTGGACGGCTTCTAAACACTTAAAAAGTTAGTGAAACGGGAATTAAAAATAAATCTTGGCAATTAACAAAAGTTTTAAAAAGTAATCATTAATTATTCACACACTTGTTAAAAAAAAAATATAAAATATCAATGTAAATTGCTTAGCTGACATATTCATCTTATTATTGAAGTGAAGGACATTGTTAACTGGATACTTCTAGCAAAAGACACAAACTGTTATGAATTTTAAAAAAAAACCTGTTATATAGTTGTAGGCAACAGCTTTACTTAATTGTCTGAAAAGTATGTGCTAAATAATTAGAATCAATCCCTATAAATAATGTAGAAAATGCCGAACTTGCACTCGTTTTTTAATTATTGTCACATATACATGTACCATTTACTTTTTCAAACTTTTAGATAGTTTGCATTGTCAAAAATGTACATATATGTATTTTCAGTTTGTTTAGATTTGCCCATGTATAGGCCAAAGGATCATGAAACAAACTTAGACTTACTATTTAAAGAGACAATGTGACGCACAAAAGGGACATTTTACAAACGTAGAATTTTTGCTTGACCCCTGTAAATTTACTTCAATTCCTGAAAGTATTACGTTTCAGAAAATATGGGTTTTAGAACCTAATAAACATTTTTTTATGGAGTAAAGTAATTTAAGTAAGTCCCACCACGAAAATATTGTTTAACTTCTTCTTCCCTATTGTACGATTGCTCAGAAACGTTGAATATGCTACATGTAACATAATCTCCAATAATGAATGTACGAGGGCTAATCAAAAAGTTGGCGAACTAATTGAATAACTTCCATAAAAGAAACTATATTTGGTTTCAGTATTATATATTAAATTAGTCCTCTCCAATTTTAATGCACATCAGCCACCGTTCTGCGCATGCGCAAATCACGTGATATTGACAGTCACGTGACCCCTTCCGTAGCGTTCTGTCACAAAAGCTTATATTTCTTTCCATGTAAGTATATTTTTATAACAGTTAATTTGTCAGAAATGGTCAAATCTCGGCAACAGAATGGGTGGATAAGAATATCCTTTCCAGAAATAAGCATGTCGACTGTTAAAACACAAATCTTCTGTCTCGGGAGAGACGTTTTTTTTCAAGGTGGATAGAGAATGGGTTACTCTTTTTTATCATATCTAATATGTTTAAAATCTTTTTGAAACAATATCTAAGGTATTTAATAATTACATTATTGATCAAATATTCAACTATCTCTTAAAATGTAAATTAAAGGACTTTGATGGCAATTTGCTTAATTAAAAACACATATCTTTTCAAATTTGCTTTCACTGAGTAACATGACAAGTATCATTTTTAACCATCTGCCTTACTTCACTTAAACGATCAATCCTAACATCGATTGAATTTATAAGAAGTCATTTGTCTTAATAAACGTTGTACAAATTATTATATGCTACGGCAAAGTAATTTCTAAGATATACAATAAATTGTAAAGTCGTTTATTGAACGATTACGACTGAGACCACCATTTTTCGTCAAAAGTGACCTATATAGTGACGTCATTTTCACATTGTGATGTCACAAACAAGAAGCAAAACTTTATTCAGCATGTGCTATTTATAGAACTTGTGTATGGTTATGTGTGTACCAAATTTCATTCTAATCTGAATTGTGGTTTTGTAGATATAGAGATAGTTCGCGAACTTTTTGATCACCCCTCGTAGGTACACCAAACCGCATTTTTTGCGATCATTTTTAATTCGCAAAATATAAAACAAGCAGAAATAAAGTAAGCTATAATGTGACATAAAACATTACCATTTTAAACAAAAAAAAATGTCAATCGTAAAAAATAACTTACGCAAAATATAAACTGTACTAATCTACCCTTTTTTCGCAAAATTTCCAACACGCGCAAAAAAACGGATATACGGTATGCCCTGTTCACACGACGAGTTTAATTCGCAGTAAATTAATGCGAATCAAACTAATGCAGATTAAATTATGTTCATGCGACAGCAAATGCGACGTAAACTATTGTGAATTATTATTCCTCAACTGTTATTACTCAACATGGTCATTCAATCAATGACAATGCCTTCATTGGTTAAATTAAATGTAACTTCCTTTGCATGTAAAAGATCGTTTCTCTGGATTTCGATAACGAGTAGACTCACGGGTACGGCCATGGATACTACAACTTTTCAAAACAGATCGATAAACAAAATTATCGACCAAAATATACCTGAAATATTGTTGACTCAGCGTTAAACAAATACAATCAATCAATCTTACCAGCCAACCAGTTACTTAATCATTTTCTTTTTTTTTTTTAATAAATGTCCAATCGGATAAGCTCTACTTCTAATAAAATGGTGGGATTTTGTTTTGAAGTGTGGTATAAGATTGCGCATTTATAATATTATAAGTCTTGTATGATTAATACTGAATACACATATAAACGATTTCCAGCGTTGTCAGTTTATACATACAATACTCCACTGACCCTGTGCCAGTGAAGTATTGTTGTATTTAAGAAAAATTGACAAAGCTGGTAATCGTTTACTGTAAAAACACATATTTTCGTGGGGCAAAATTTTCGTGGTTGAAGGAAAAAATGTTGGTTCGTGGGGATTTGATTTCGTTCATGAAGAACTTTTTAATACTTGTGCATATGAAAATTTACAAATTCATGGTGGACATGAATTCGTGGGTCTATTCATCCACCAAAACAACGAAAATTAAACCCCCACGAAAATTAGTGATTTCACAGTATATGTGTATTCAGATTTAATCATACAAGACTTACAATATTATAATAAATGTATAATCGTTCAACACGGTATACACAGGAACAGCCAACATTCACTACCCCAACCAGACATCTACTAACTCGCACATGCGAATCACACAAGGTACACGATTAAGTAAATTCATTACATTATTTTTTTCTTTTGAAATTTTGATTACATTTTCGAAAAATTAGATTGTGAGTTTTTTCGTCAGAAATGAATCTATGTATTATTATAAACTAAACAATACAAACAGAAAAAAATCAAAAATCATCAAAATAAGTGCATAAGATTTTTAAACAGTACTCATATAAAAACACCTTTCTATGAAACATATTACTTTTCATTAAAATTGTCCAAATATATGTCAAAAAAGGACATCAGAAACAAAATGAGGACGCTGACTTTTTAGAACATATAAAAATGACGTTAATTTGAAAACTGCCGCTGATGTTCAAACTTTAAAAATGCCTGTTCTAAGAGTAATTGATTCAGAATTACTTTCATATTGTTTAAATTGGTTGGTTGTGTGGTTTTCATGTTTGGAAAAAAATATCATTTGTTACATTGTAATAATGTGTAACTTTATATTGAAAAAGCAAAGTCAGGACATGTTTGCTGAAACACCCTGTATATTTACCATTTTGTTAAAGACGTTAGACAATCGGGATGTATTTCCTTTGTCTGATATTGAGAAATAACCTATATAGTTACTCAATTTTTTTTTTCCATTTTAAATGACAGTTTAAGGATATTGATTTTCATCTTGTTATAGTTCATATTATGCCCCAAACACCTTATTTGATCAAGCTAAGTATATTTGAATGTACACATGTATTAATTTATTTCTCAAATTTGATAAATCTGTAAGCATTTTTCATTTACTAGATCTTAACCTTAAGTGTTTCACAAATATCTCTTGTTAATGCTTGCGAAATTTCTTCAGAGCAACGACAGACAAGGATATCAGTATATTTAGGAATATGTCAACCCCAGATGACTTGATATAATTAGAAGTACAATGTACTTTATAGCTTTTACATTTCTGCGTGTTTACGCTTTATTGTAGATAATGAAAATGTGGCTTTACAAAGCCATACTTGGCTTTATTACGTGGATCAATATTCGTACTATTTACCTTCCTATCGTCTGTTTGATGGATCCACAACACAGCCCAGCTGCATTGATTTTACCTCTTCTTGGACTGGAAAGACGTATAACTTGAACATTTACTCGAGGAGTTCCTCGTATTTTATTCACAACATCAAAGACATACGTTTTTATTTCAAGAATAAAGGTAAGGAATATTTTATCAAAAATGAATGTATCACATTTCCAATGATACTATACCTTATATTTTTATAAATTATTATCATGGAGAAATATTGAAGGTATCCAAGCTATTGTACAAAAGGCCTTTACTCTCTATTGCTGCACATGATTTTATGGAAATAAGAAACAAGTTCATTTTGAAAAAGCAATCCCTCAAAATAAATCTATATATCGTTCGTGTATTTATTTAGAATATATATACTGTTTGATAAAGCAGATCCAATAAAAATAATCATGAATAAAATGTAGAATAAACAAAGAATCAAACTTTTATGGTTCTTTGTATTCTGTGTTATGGTATGGAACTTCCATTTCCTTTAAATATATGTTAGAAATATCTTTTTTTAAAAATCCGAAATAGATAATAAATGGTTGGTTCTATTGCCTTCATATATCACATGCATGTGTTTTGAAGAAAACCTACACTCTGACACCAACATATATGTATTTCGTTTTCCTTAGAGTTGCAGATGTTTAAAAACTTTAACCTCGGCCATAACTTTGAATATTTGGTAAACGGGCTTTCATTCTTTTTTTTTGTGGGGGTGGGGTGGGGGGAGGTCTTAAGTCGGAAAAAGCAAGCATTTTGTTTTTTCATATGATTCATTATAAAGTTATAGTAACTATGTAAAGAATTTTCCTTTGTCAGTCTTCGATATTTGTGTGCTTGCATCTCCAATTCAGGAGCTTATTTTTTTTTATATCTTTATGCTTTTATGTATCATAACAGGGACATCAAATATTAGATTCCAATATACCATTTGCCTATATTGTTCATCAGAAAATCAACTCAATGGAGAAGAAGAGATATCTTCCTCGTCATCAATCGTGATAAAAATACCGTATCTGAAACAACTCTACTACGAGTATATGAGTATTTTGTTCAGTTTTTCTGTTGACGACCTCGCAAAAAATAACAGCTTTTCACTTTCCTTCTGCGAAGTAGAAATGTATGGTAAGTGTTTATTTGAAGGCTATGTAATCTGATGGAAGAAGCTATACACAAGTAGCAAGTCATGGATACTATAAATTCGAATCACATATTTTCTAGAGATATGATTTTTGATGATTTCGAATTATAAAGAGACTATTGAAATTGACTGAATTCATGATCCCCATGATACGTAAAGTCTTCATTAAGCTTAATTAAATTGCTACACAACAATTCTTCATCCACGATCTCAAATTCCCAAGAACCGGGACCTTTTCCTCAAATCAATGAAATATAACCCCATGAAAATATGCGATTTTACAGGACTTGCTATTTCAATTTAATACTTGGTGTAAAAAATTATGAAACATGTTGCATTTATTTTAAGATAGGTCCTAGTATATGTAGAACATAGTTGTTAAAGTGTAATTTTGTCCTGATTTACATTAAAAGATACATTTTTTTTTTTAATTTAGCGAGACATTATTTTCAAAAATTGTTTTTCCTCTATATAATCATACGGAATACTATAAGCGAGAATGAATTTTTTTCGAGCTCATTGTTTCGCATAATTACGCGTAAAAATAATTTCTCGAATTAAAGTGCTTTTCAGTACTCCAAGAACACAACAAGCATATAGAAAATTTACATGTTTATGAAATATTGTGTAAAGCCCTCATGTGCCCACCTCTAACAATGAAAATAATGACTATTTTCAAAACAGTGTAGCATGTAAATTTTCGAAATCGAGAGCATATAAATATAAGGAATAACTGTCAGATTTTTTTTGTTTAATGACGATGGTCAATCGATTGGCTTGTGTGATAATTTTATGCATAGACGTCATTTTTGCATGCACCCCAACAACTAGACATTCCTTTAATAAATCTACTGACTGTTGATTGTAGAAAAAAAGCGTCATAATTTAATGACATTTTTTGTTTGATGAGGATGCCCTAGAAATCATTACGGTAGCCCTTGCAGACCATGCCTTTCAAATTGTGACGAATGTAATGCTATTGACGGGTCTTGTATTTGCCAAGCTGGTTATTCCGGTGTAAACTGTACAGATGGTAAATAATTATACTGTTAAATATATTTAAAAATAACTCTCAAAGAAATATAAATAAAAATGCTGTTGTCACCTGAACAAATATTTTTCTTTTTATTCAAAGTTTTACTTAAAATATTGCAGTTTGTACTAATGGTACGTATGGTGCTAACTGTGTGTACAGCTGTGGACATTGTTACAACGATACTTGCCATCACGTGACCGGGGACTGTTTACTCGGTTGTACTGATGGTTGGACATCAAGCAAGTGCAATCAAGGTTAGTGTTTAAAGATAAACTGTTGAAAGCCAACCATTTCCCATGGTTTGAAGACAATATGGGGGAAACATGACACTAATTTGATTTTTTAAAATCATCTCTTTAGATAAAAAAATAGAAATGCCAGAAATAAAACTTTGATCACAATAGAGATCTTTTTTAAAGGTTCATATACTTGTCTATGGCTTTAAGTACATGAATATTGTACTGCATCTTATATTTCATGTGTTGATAAAATATACTTGTTCTACAGGTAGACAAAACATAAAATTTAATTGAGGGTTTAGTTGAATTTTAAAAACTACATTCTGTTTATGTTATATGCATCTGTAAATCCAAATATGAATTGACAATAATTTTATGGACGATTTTAATTTTCTGATTCAGTCTGCAGTTCTGGTTACTATGGACGAGATTGTACACAGAATTGTAGCAGTCACTGTATAACACCGTATCTGTGTGATCGGTATAACGGGTCTTGTATTGGAGGATGTGCTACTGGGTGGACAAATGATACTTGTGATAAAGGTCTGTTGTCCAGGTCATTATATTAATCAATCTCCATATCTCTACCAATTTAATTTTGATATAGCTACTAATATTTCTTTTTTTATTTTTGCAGTTGATACAGATTATTGTAAGTATGGCTTTTTTAAACATAGGAATTGATCTCGATTTGCTCTTGATAAGTCTTGAGTAGGCTTTCTTTACTAGATTCATAAACAGGAATTCCAATGTATTCTGACATACTCGTTCTTTTTTCCTCACGATCTGAGACAGGTGTTGACTGGGCACCATCAGATGTATCCGTGTCATACCATAACATGACGTGGAAGAAAGAAAAATATAACAACATTATCAGATATGACCCTGCTGTGACATTCCTCTGCAGCTTCAGTTTGAAATCCAATGAGGATTTATTTTATGACGTCATATGGTATATTGATGGACAGGAAGTTGTCAACCAAACAGTGGATAAGTCCATTAATTATACAGCAGTTATAACTGCTCATGATATGTTGAAAACAAGGAAAAAGATTGGGTCGTACGTAAGTGATTATTATCAAGAAAATATCTATTTTTTTTTACTTTAAAAGAATTCTAAAAAAACACTGAAAAGTCGTGAATTGCAGGAAAAAATATTATTTAAAGTTAATAACTCTTAAAATTTTATAGACTTCCTTGCAAAATATGTGAAAATTTGTTGTTTTTTTTATTATTTTTTTTCAATTTATAATTTGTTTGTATTCGTCTATCTAATCTATCGTAGATTACCCGTTTACCAGAAAGGACAATTTTAAATTGTAAGCTTTTGATTTAGGTTCATAAACCCTCTGCTAACTCATATAAAATGTATCTTGAACCTCAAGAATTTTCCAAAATAAATGTCTTTTATAAGTAAAATGCAAACAATTATAGCATAGCTTGCGGGGCAAAACTGGACGAAGAAGACACTTCAACTTGACAAATATATAAAGGAATAATACACATGTATGTCAAGAGTTATCTCTCTTATTAGAGTATCGATGAACCTTAAGTAAGACATAATTGTATAATCTGTTCGTAATGTTTTCTTGTAAGGTACACTGCAAAGTGGGCGCAAAACGCAAAAGAGAAAACGACCCATGTCTTTACAAAGATGGAAATCCATTTTTTACTGGAATAAAGGTAATTCATGTAAAGCTTAAATATGCCATAATGTGAC